CTTTGATAGAACACCGATACTAGCAAGGTGTACCTAGTAAAGTGGCCGATGAGTGTGTGTAATATATATATATATATGCCAACAATATATTTACATGTCATGTATGTTCACATAGTCTTGATTAGTGTGGTTCCACTGCCATGCATATTACACTTTATCACCCTGGTGTTTTATGAGTTACTTGCTATGAGTTACTGCTCTTTGCATATCCCCTTTGCTCTTTTATTTCTTCATTGAATAAGCCTGGTAAAGTGTTAACATAAGCGTTAGAATTCAGAAAAACAAAATAACACTGAGGGTCGGCCTGTTCACACCACAATCGGAAGGAAATCACAAGTCAGTTGACTTGCAGTTTCAACCTCTCTTGATTTCTGTTCCATTGTTTTTTTTGCCATTTTTATTAACATGTCCCGAGTGGACAAACATCTATGTAGTTTTTTACTTCTATTCTGCTGCTTTTTCAACCGTTTTTGTTACGTTACATTGTGCTGAAGAGCCTGCTCTCCTTTTTTTTCTTCATCGCACTTCAATGGAACAGAACAGATAGCAGCAGTGTGAACTGGTCCCATTCATTTTTCAGTGCAGTTGCGGTAGTCTCCATTGAAAAATGGATGGCCATTGATCAAGTATAATTGGGGCCTTAATCACTTTGAAAGAGTTGCTGTTACACAGTCAGAGCTGATTGTATTGCAGAGCTATTGGAGACCCTCTTGTAAACATTGCTATCAGGTTGACTGACCTGGGATCTTAAGAGCAGAAACATTGCCTTCTGAACAATAGGAAGGCTGTGGGCAAAGTGCATGTAAACAGCGAACGTCTCTTATTTGCTGGCCTGTTAAATATACCTTTGATCGTTTTTTTAAGTATTATATCTTTTCGATAGTCCAAAAAAACAAAACTTGTTGAGCATATTCGAAATCCAGAGCTGTCCTTGTGCACACTTCCTATGTTATCACAATGAGTCTAATTAGCCCTCCTAGTTCTTATTTTAGACTACAGAATGATTAGTGTCATACAGATAAGGAGGGTGAGATTGTTTTATGTAGTTTAGCAAAGGATAATTGGGTGTAGCAGACACAACTCGGTCCGGAAAAAACTATTTGTGTTGTCAGCCTTCAACAGGACTTAAGAGCTGAATCAAAAGGTATTTTTTATCTACTTGCTGTACTTAAAAGGGATAAAACAAGGGAAATGTGATGTATTGCAGAGATATACTGGATATGCTTTTGTTGCCCTTTAAGTGCTTTATTTGTTATCTAATTTTTCTTCTAGGCCATATCATCACCATCAGACCTACAATGATGCCAATAACAATTAGAGCAATAGCGCACCACCACGACATAAATAATGAACAAAGGTAGATGATTTTGATTGGGCTTCAGAGGTAGGGTTGCCACCTTTTCTTCAAGCGAAACCCGAACACTCTAGCAATGCGTGGACATTTTAGGGGGAGAATGAGTCATGGCTTATTCATATGGAAATATCACAGTTGACACTATTAACAGTGTGGGATGTGGGGTGTGGGGGGGCTCAGTAGCCCCTATCTTAATTTTGGTTGCCCCTGTCTGCCTGACATATTGTGTCCGGGTTTCTGCTGCCATGAAACCCGGATACAGCATTCAAAACCCGGACTGTCTGGGTGAATCTTGGACAGGTGGCAACTCTATTCAGCGGATGGTAACAAACCATTCATTTCACTCACTATAAAATAAAGGTTACTATGTTCTACTGGTCTGCAGTCTTTTCTTGAACAGTATATATGTCACATTCACATCATATTATTTATTCATAAAATTATTTTAGAAGACAATAGAAAGCCTTTTTTACCCCCAAAATAATGATATATGCCAGGAGTGGGCAAACTCCAGCCCTCCAGTTGTGGTGAAACTACAAATCCCATGATGCATCTGTCTCTGGGAGTCATGCCTTTAGCTGCGAGAATCTTGCAATGCCCCATAGGATTTGTAGTTCCACCACAGCTGGAGAGCCAGAGTTTGCCCACCCCTGATATATTGAATACTTTGTTATCTTAAGTTATTTCTGAATTAGGAGGCACATACTACACATATAAAAATTGTTATGGTTCACAAGGGGGTATACAGGTGCAAGAGATGAAGTGGTCTTTCTTAGTTTTGAGTAGAATGGAAAAGGGTTAGAACCTCTGTTAGACATTACGTCTGCCTATGTGTTCCTTTGGAGAGACTCACCCTCACTGACATGACCACTGTCCTAGAGACAGAAAGCAGGGAGGAATCTAAATGTTTACAGCCATCAATATCCAGTACCAGCTCACTTTAATCCGCCTCTGTCTCTATGAAAGAATACAGAGCTTCTAACTCTTTCCGACTCTATCCAAAACCAGGGGAACATTTGTATTGGAGTTGAATATATTGCATCATGCATCTTTTTTTCCCAGGCTACCTGCAAAGCAAGGGATAACATACAACTGCAATAAGGGGGATTTCACCATTTCAGTTTGGGGACAGACACACTTACTGCTATAGAAATCCATTGAGTAAAGCAGACCTTTACCCAAATCTTTAAAACAACAACAAACACATCTTTAGGAATGTTTAGTAATGACAATCTACAAACACATACTTCTAGACAATTGCCGGCTTTGTATTCTTTGCATATCTTATTTCTCTTTTCTTCCCCACTCACAGTGGCCATGTTTACTAAGGGCAGATTACTAACTCTCCTTTTACTTCCTGGATTTCTGGCACAAGTGACATCATCTCAGGGGAGGAAAATGCCTTCCATGCAGCTGAGATTTCCCAGCAATGCTCTGGTGATGACCAGGCAAACTTAGGACGCATAGCGTTGGCAAACTGAAGTCATTTTGCCCTTTCAAAGCAGGAATTATTATTAATCATACATAGCGGTATGAATTGGTAGAATTTGATTTTTGAGTGTAAATGTCTGCATTAAGTGTTATATGTCTCAAAGTCTGATCCCCAGATAGAAAGTTCAGGATATAAACACAGCAAAGCCTGACAAATAAGAGAGGGTAATAAATAGATTTAATATGCACTCAGTTTTGGTTATATTTGCTTTCTATGAGCCTTTTTTTTTACTGCACACACACACACAAAATAAATTGTTTTCCTATTACAATAAAAAAAATGAAGCTTTGTACTTAAAGCTGAACTCAGGCAAGACACAGATGAAATATACTTTATGGGAGCTGTTTTACTTGGTCATGGATTTGTATTTCTGCCCATCCGGTCCCAGGACTCACACAGGTTTGTCAGACAGCACAGCCAGGCTGGTAACCTGACATTTCTCTACTGTTGTAAAGCAATAAAGCCTAGACAACCCCACCCCATACACTGATAGATTTTCATATGAACATTCATGGGAAAAATCTCATCAGAACATTTGATAATGCCATTAGAGACTTGACAAATGTTGTTCAAAATGTCCTTTCAAAGCAGAACTCTGGGCAAATGTTTTCTTACCCTTGCAGTGCAGGGTTAGCTAGTGTCTAGACCAGGGGTAGGCAACCTTGGCTCTCCAGCTGTGCCGAAACTACAAATCCCATAATGCTTCTGCCTCTGGGAGTCATGCCTGTGGCTTGTAATGCCTTATGGGATTTGTAGTTTCAGCACAGCTGGAGAGCCAAGGTTGGCTACTCCTGGTCTAGGTGCAAAAATAACAAATGTATACTCGTCTGATCCTCAGAACTGCCTTGTTGGTAGACTGGTCCCTGGGGCCTCTCTTCCCCTCTGTTCCTGCAGTCTAAGGTCCCTGAGTCATCACGTTCAATACACTGTGTATAGGACATGAAGACGCAGAGGGACTGGGGGAGGAGACAGGCTTGAGAGAGTGCTGTCACAGCCAGCCGGCTCCGAGGTTCAGGAAAGTAAAACTTTTTCACCTTGACTAAAACGAGCAGTTAACCCTTGCAATGCGAGGGTAGCCCCACTTTTTTTAAATAAAATGTTTGCCCAGAATTCTTTGTTCGGAAATTCCTGCTCCTTCCATTATCTTTGTCACTATGGTAAAAAAGAATTGTTGATTTGACCCCTTTAAACTCTTAGAAACCCAAATGAACATTCACAAAAAAACACTTTTTCCCAATAATAAGTTTACTGGTGTATAGCTGGCTTAAGGCAGAACAGGAGATTGGCTCCTGGTTCTGCCTCTTCCAGTCTAAGTGTTTCTATGCAGGGAATAGCAAACAGTTATTACCAAGCCCAATAGCAGCTACCTACTATGATACCATTTTTCTCCACATTGATTACACCCGATGCATTTAAAAACATTTATACTTTTAACAAATAACTGCATTTATTGTGGTTGTTTTTTTACATTTACCTGGAGTTCACCTTTAAGTACAAAGCAGAAAGTGTACAGCTACACGATGCTGCTCCAAACAGAGAATAACAAAAAACAAAAAAAAGTGTACTAAGTAGAGGATCGAAGATCACAAAGTCTTCACTGGTTTCCTGCATCCCACTGCAGCAGTTTACAGATGAAAATAACATTCTACTCTGTGATCACCTTTTCAGGGGTGATCAGTTTGCTGAGGCCTGGGGATCATCACAATGTGATGCACTGATACCGATACTCCCCCAAATGCTCCAATACTTACCTCCGATATCAGAACTTCCGATTAGAGGGAGATCGCCCTCTGACCGGCAGTGCCAAGGGAGTATGGAGCCGGCTTCCTTTCCAATCAGGAAGCCGGGCGGTGGGTTATGACCTGTCTTCCTGATTGGCTAGGAAGCTGGCTTCTTGTGTTGCTAAGCAATCAGGAAGTTGGGCAGCACCTAATGACCTACCTCCTGGCTTCCTGATTGGTCAGGAATCCAGGCTGCATAGGAACAAGTGAAGTTGGCGAGTACCTAAAAAAAAATATCAGTATTCGTACCGAAAAACTGGTGTCGGTGCATCCATAGGAATTATGTAAGCAGCTTGTGGAGGATGCATCTAAGGAGTGGATGACACATTAGATGTGGATTAGCATCTAAGGAGCCCTAGCACAGTAGTAAGAATGAATAGGACAGAATTATTTCATAGACAGATCCACCTACTATGATACCATTTTTCTCCACATTGATTACAAATGACAAATGTCATCATCTCTTCATCAGGGTCTCCAGCCCGCACCCATGCAGGCAGAAACAGAGTTCCTCTTGAAATCATGGTAACTGTGCAATTAAACCTTTCACACTTCCTACATTTAATTTTATCTGTCTGGAGGCCATCAACACCTTGAGGTAGCTGATGCTCCTGAACACTTGTTTGTGTATAGCTGGCTCTGAGCTTTTGGAGTTCATCACTAGCCATCTCTATTGCAGTCATTGTAGCAAATGCCCCAGGGCTTAACGCTCCAGAGTAAATCTGCCTTTTTAGGTGTGAATTTTGGGGATTTCTCAGATTGGACACTTTACTCCGTACACAGTTTCTGTACTTCTTGTCATTTCCAGTATACATATTATAGATGCTTTCCTCTAACTCTTTTGCATATGTATTTGTTTTCTCCGGGCACTCTGTAGTATCAGATAAAGCCTGGAACAACAGTTCTCTACATTTTACTCTTAATTCCTCAGCAATGATTTTCTTCTGACCGTCATTGGCCGCACTAGACTTTGTACAACAAGCTGCTTGTGTGCTTGAATTAGTGTTTTCAGCTGTCGTTTCTTGAGTTGCTGCGGAGGACTGAAGACCTATTGCACTACCCAGAACGTTTTCTTGCTCATTTTCTGGGATTGGCTGCACTGTTACAATTTCTTTGTCAAAGCTTTCTTTGCTTTCACCTGCGTGGTATTCCTCTAGATGCTTGGGATGGGCACAGCTTTCTTTGTATAAGAGCTTCCATTTGGAAAGCAAGCACTTGGCCTTCTTTTTCATAGCTCCTTGGGAACAGCTCTTAAGGACCCTGTACACAACCCTGATGACGTCTGTCTGTTGAAGGGTTTGCATGCTGACCTCAAGTGTTTCAAAGTAAGAGAGGTGGTACATAATCTCTTCATATTTTCTCTCTTTTAAAAGTCTTTCCACTTGTAAGGATCTGTATGTCAGTTCTTTAATGGCTGTTGCATTCAGCATTCCTAGGACAGAAATATTTTTAAATCTGAAATGTGTAACTATAAAATTTTTTCTTAAAAACATATAAGACAGGGGTAGACAAATTTGATAGAATTCAAGAGCCAGTTAGTCCGATACAAGAGCCATCTCCACTGACATCAGCTAGAAAAAACCTCAAAAGTTAGGTGTCCGCTATACGTTTTAGGTAGCATTGGCTTCCTGGAATTTGTTCAGCCCTGACATAAGAGACTTTTGCAAATGTAAATACCTCCTCCAGAAATACTTATTTTTAAGCTGCACTGCAAGTAATTATTTGCAGTAATGTATTACCATCATCCACGGCACAACAGCTAACGTTTAGGCAGGCGTTGGGAATATCTCCTGAAGAAGACCCACCCCATCCTCACCTCCTCAGTATTTGGATATTATCTACTTACTGGTGATGGCAAGATTATTTGCCTGTCATGCAGAAGTTGTGCAAATCAAATTGTTGGTAGCCTCCTCTTCTATGACAGCCAACTAAAGTTGGCCATACACCATTTGTTTTTCCATTCCGCTAATCTTTCAGCGTGAAAATAGCACTTTGCGCCCAAAGGACAGACTTGATTCACCAATAAATCCAGACAATGTTTGATAAAGCGGTGACAATTGGACCATACTGCAGCTCAATTTAGGAGATAAAGATGCATATTCTGCCCAAGAAGCAGCCACTAGTCTGGTGAAGTATGCCTGACGCAAACTAGGAACTTCCTTATGTGCAGATATGTATGGTAGACTAATCTCTTGCTTGATCCAGTTACCAATAGCACTTTTGAATGCTTACCTCTTTTATGGGGACCCTGCAACTAAATAAAACACATTTTATGAATTCCATAATGCTGTCTAATCACTGTAAACCAGGATGCAACATTTTAAGTCTTACAAGCTAAACTTCTCTTGTAATTTACTGGCTGGGGTTTGAGAAAAAGCTATAAATATTTTTTGATCTTTATAGAAACAACCTGGAGCAAAAACAAGAACAAACATTTAAAGGCTACCCTGTCTTCAGGGATACTCATATATAAGGTGTTTTAATAAAGAGGGTTGCAATGCTCTAATGTTCTTGGCCGATGCTTTTAGTCAACATTTTCAGATTGCCTGAAAGAGAAAAAGAGTAGGGAATGGTTAGGACCTCTGCCAGTTTTTTTTTCCTGTCTGTGTCCCATCGGGGAGATTACCCACTTCCTGTCCAAGAGACACCACAGAAATTGAGAAGATCTATATCAATGACCTAGATATCAAGGATGTTGGTGGATCAGTTATTGTGTGGGGTTCTATGGTGAGTATAAATAAAATAGGCAAAAGTGAACACACCCTGTATTGTCCCTCTCCTAATGAGAACTGTATGGATTCATAACCATGATATATTTAAGTGAAGCATGCAGTTGGTTGGTTGTAGTGGATTTGAATCCCTCTCGGATCTACAATCTCACGAGCTCCGATGTGTGTGTGTGTGTAAAAAAAATGTAGTTCCATGACAGAGAGTCAAATGCTTTGTCTAACATCTAGGGAAGGGAAAATGGGGAATAGGGAATGGTTTCTAATGATCTCTTTTTTGCCAAGATGGATAACTGCATGGTCAATGTTCAGAAGTGATTTGGGTCTGTAGTTGGTCCATAAATGAGTGTCTATCAGGTTAAAGACCATCACTATGTTGTCACCTACTAGGGCTGCAGTGAACAATTATTTTCATACTCGATTAGTTGGCCGATTATTTTTTCGATTAATCAATTAGTTGCATTAAAATCTCTCTCTCTCCCTGATAATGAGAATAGTTGACAACTATTCTCATAATCGATTATTATCGATTAGTTGGTTGCAGCCCTAGCTCATACCATATAAGTGTTCATTCACACAGACATAGAGGTTCTTGTACTGTGAAAAAATGGCCAGGTGTCTATGCTCAGAAGCCACAAGTGTTGCATACAGCCCATGTGTACCAATCAATGACAGTCTACAGCTTTATGCTGGAAAATGCTCTTCTGAACATATACTTTAGTCTAGGGCTGCAACTAATGATTATCATAATCGATTAGTTGCCCGATTATTTTTTTCAATTAATCAGATAAAAAAATAAATACCATCCTTAATTTAAAAAAAATAAACAAATGCAGTGTTCTAAACAAAGTTTACTTCAGAATAAACTGCATGCACAATTCTTTGCAATCGCACTGGAAGGTACGGCATTGCAGTACCGTTTTTTCCAGTGTGGGCGATCACACTTTCTGCAACCACCCACTGCTTGCTGTGCCCTCCTCCCAGCATGGAGGAGAGAGCTAGTGGATTCAACCAACTAATCAGAATAGTTGACAACTATTCTGATTATCGATTAATTGGTTGCAGCCCTACTTTAGTATAGTAAAGGAGGGTACATCCTTGGACT